GCGGCTGCGCACGCGCACGCCCTCGCGCGGGACTCCGACTCGACGGACGCCGGCGACGACTCGGACGCCGGCGTCGAGCAGCGGGACGGCGGGCCCAAGGTACACCCCCTACCCTCTAGGGATACGCTACGCAAATCGACGCTGCGCTCCTCCCCCAAAGCGACGGCTTGCGGCTCGCGATCCCCTTTGCTTCCAGTGTTCCTCCCTAACTAAGAATTCGATAATTAAATGAATACAATCATTATAAATAATCTTCAGATGTAGTTGCAAACAAACAATTGCTACTTTCTACCACAGAACGAAATTAAGTCAGTACCATACTTTTTAAAACTTAATTACAAGAATATTACAGTGTACACATTTATATCACAATTTTGCTAATAATTTTTGGATTTGCTTTGGTTACTTTTTTATGTTAAAAAATGTTAACTGTATATTTTTTTAATTAATCATGTTATTTTCTTTGACAATACCAATGGATTCTACTCGTGATATTAATATTTCATTGCATCACTTACACACATGATGAAGATCTTTTAATGCGTTGCTGCAACTAGGCAGTAAATAATTACATTAATTTATTGACATCACCCTGATTGACTTTGTGAAAATAAGATACTATGTTTCAATGGTTTTAGGTTGGCACTAAAATATACTTTGCATTTTACTGTCAAATTACATAGTCTCATTGCTCCTTTTTACATTTGTATGGGCAAAAGGTCACATAAATACAATATGTTGTAGATGATATAATTAAAACAAAGGAGGATACTATCTTTAGTCTAGTGAGTTTATTATGAAATTATTTGGAATAAATAATTTTTAATTATATTTTCTTTTTCATAAGAAGAATTGTAACAAAATAATTTATAAAAACAAAATAAAAAGTTTAAAATTAGGTGATGTAATTATTCAAGAAGTAATGATAAACACATTATTTGTGATATCACAAAAGACACTCATCAAATAATAGGATAGATTTTTAAGACATTCATTCTATTTTGAGAATACTGCTACATATTGAATACACTGTCAACACAATACATACTGAAAACATGAGGCATTAAATGTTGTTATTTTTCTCCCCGAAATATCTCTTGTTTTTTTGGGAACACCTATCTCGAAAGCTATATAGGGAATAGACAATATGAAACATACAATCTCTTAGGCAATTTTAACAGATTCATTTGGAATGTAGTATATTTCTGATATGATGCAGTGTCACCAGTTTTAAAATGCCTGGCATCCATTCACCAGTTTATTCACTTGCAACTGTAAATTATTCATACTTCTGTTATAGTATTGAATCAATATGGAGGAATCAAAATTATTTAAATAAATTTTAGATAAGAAATGTAATGATCAGTTCATTGATCTTTTTAGAAATGGAGCACGACACTATTACTGAGTACCTAATAGAATGTCCTATTGAGGAAATGGTACTCAAGAAACGAAATAGCCACCATTAATTAGCAACAATCAAATTCAACACCAATCTCCTCCAACGTGCTATTAAAATTTCATTCAAAATGAGAACTTCACAAGCAGTTTCAAAACACACATGATGTTCTGTAATGAGTTGAATGTGTGAACCTATTAGAAAAATTGTGTCGTAACATACTGCAGAATTTATGATAACATTCATTAAGAAACTCCCCATAACACTTATTATAAATAGTGTTTAAAATGTAAGAAAATAATAATCAAAATCAAACCCTTCTTTTCAAGTTGTTTATATCTATAAGATATCTAATTAATATCACTTTTTATCACTAAAATACATCTCTAACCCAAACTTTCATTAATTAAAATACATTTGTGCTCTTTTTATTAAACATGAAGATTTGAAATATGTAATAAAAGCTTACGATAAAATTGTTTATGACCTCTACATTTCAATATGGATATACCTCCAATTCTTCTAAATTCAGAAGTTTCTTTGGCCCACTCCCCATATTTCTTTTGAGATTTTGGTGTAAAATATCTTTTTAAAATTTTGTTTTAATTTTTTAGGAAGTTTCCTCACTTTAAGGTAGTTTCTCAATCTAGAATTTTCAGTTTACTTTTTTTCCCTCCTTTATTTAGCATTCAAATCTCATGTTTGGTTTGCAATTAATTTTTTCCGTCAAAAATAATTTTCTTATCCAGTCACTTTTGCCTGTAGCCACTGGTCAAAAAGAAACCATCCATCAGCAATGACCTCGCAAGATTTCAACTGGAAAGGATCCCTCCACACTTCATGCTGCAAACGGCACATCGAACTAGCAAACGGAAGCCCCCTATTTATCCTGACTTTTACTCGGAGACAGAAGCAGACAGCAAGGCAAGTTCCATTTAGTATACAATATGCTGCATTTCAGATATATAATAATATGTTTCCAACCATTAATATATTCTCAGACTTGTATAACATGTCATTCATACAACATGTTTTCTTGCAGGCTGTGGAGGAGTCGCACAAAGTGCCTGATGATGGTGTCATGATCCAGACATCCCCAGAAAACTATGTTGTCACCCCACACAGAAAGAGACGTCCTGGTTTCCACAACTCTCCAGCGCAGAACCCTCCATTTGTACCTTTATGCCCATCATATCTGGATGAGATTCGGTACCGCAACAGCCTCCACAGCCCCAGTCCACGACATCTGGCTCATCCAATGTCTGCTTCTGCACCACCATATTTGGAACGAGTGTCCACACCACCAGGAAGTGGACCTTTGCAACCAGGACAAGAAATGGGCACCCTTACCTCAACACAACAACATGTGCGTGAAGATGTAGTAGTGAAATATCGACCACCAAGTGGCGATGGTCATGTGCAAACTGTAGACTATACCACCCGATCAGGAGATGGAGGACCTTGGGGGACGTGGGCATTATGTTCACCGCAGGTAGGCGTCAGTTCCGAAGAGACTGCAGCCAGTGGTGCATATGCACCGATAAGTGGGAGTATAAAAAGTGAAGGTAACGGAGCTGGAGACAGTTCTGGGTCGTTCAACAGCACGTCGAACACCAGCTCCACATCCAACTATAAGACAGTTCCCGTACGTGAATATCGTTGTGAATATTGTGGAAAGCAGTTCGGAATGAGCTGGAACTTAAAAACACATCTTCGTGTTCATACTGGGGAGAAGCCGTTTGCGTGTCGACTATGTGTGGCAATGTTTAAACAGAAGGCACATCTTCTAAAGCATCTGTGCTCTGTGCATCGGAATATCATCCATGAAGGTGGAGAGGGCCGGTTCAGTTGCTGTTTCTGTCAGCTGACATTTGAAGCCCTCCAAGAGCTCATTAGACACTTATCAGGTGCACATAACAACCTGCTCCTCAGCAAGAACTTGCATGAATAACTGTAGGAGGGTGGGCAGCAAATTGAATCAATAGTGCCTATTCAGAGTGTCCACTAAGCTTGATGAACAGTAATGTATATGTTCCATGGTGCCGAAGTAAATGTATTGCATATACCTCATTATTATAAAAGTAGCTAAAAGAGATACACTCAAAAATTAATATGTTCTTAGAAATAAGTAGTTATTGCTCTCGAAATAAGATCTTGTTTGGGCATTTCCAATGAATGTTCCTCTGGGATTGTAATCCAGCCAGTCATATTGAAAGTAACAGCAAAGTATTGTAAATATACGATAGCTAATGAACACAACCTCTGAGAATTGTTTCATATTATGTAACAAAATGAGGATAATGTATCAAAACATATTTAACCCACAGAAGTGGATATTGTGATGTAAGACCTAACAATTATTTTCTGTACAAAGAGTGTGTAACATTGGTATTTCCCAATTTAATCTCAATAGAAAGCAAGTCAGGGAGATTGATATGGAGAATCTCAAGTGTTAGTTGACACCCTGTACGAGGATATTTGTTGAGAAAGTGTTTCTTTTTTTCTGTGATATCTCTAGTTGGATGTCAATTTGTTGATTTCTGTTCTTATTTATATTATTTACTTGAGACGCAAGGAATCTCACAGCCCCACCTACAACACTTTGCTCACAGTATTCAGGGAATGCTTGCTGCCCACCCCTCAGGAGTTTAGTGATTTAGCTGTAGAACGAATGCTACTCTGATGTTTTGCCTATATTCTCAGGATGGTAATGCCGTAACTACTAATGCTTTGTGCTGATCTCATTAAATTATTACAATGTCATGGAAAGTGAGAACTGTGGGAAATGTAAAAAAGTTGTTATGTGGACATCGTCCAGAAGGAATGCTATTTCTGCTTTTACGCTAGTCTGTTAAATCTACTTCCCTGAGACATCAAAGATTTTTAACATTGTAATCTGTTTTTTGAAGAATCTTATACAGAAATTTCTATAATACATTTAACCTCCAAAGTGCCTCAGCTGTGTCAGTACAGATCAATGAATTAGTCAGATACACAGCATTTAATGCTTCTATTTACCAGCCTGAGTCATGGGATTCTTAGCAAATAAACATTCAGAACAAATAGCATTCATAGATTGGTTAGTTATGATATTAAATATTTATGTTGTAATAATACAAGAAAAAAAAACTTTTCTTTAAATTTTTTTTCACTGTAAATAAGATTCTGACACCTACTGCTGCCCTATTTGTTTAAATTCTATGACCACTCATGTGACTTATATATTGCCTTACAAATCGAATATACTTATTCTGGGTCCAATGTTTATGCACAATTTGTGCTCGAACAATCACTGCCATTTTGCCCGAAGACCATTAATAATTATTTATACACTTGCTGTACAAGTTATAAATCACCAGGCACATTTCTGCAAACTTATTCTTTATTTAACTTGGCTGTATGTATTGTGTCTCACTATTTTGTAATTTGTGTTTTTTCTTTTCTCCTGGTGAAGGTTCATGTGTCTGTAGTATGTAGGGGCGGCATGAGTTGGGGCTGTTGAACTATTTGCTTAATGCACAAAAACCTGCTGCTTCACTGCTCCTATATTAACTGCTTACAAACAATTTGAAAGTCCTGAAATTTCCCACTCTCCTCAGAATATCTATAATAATTTATGGCAAAAGTGTTTAAATTAACTAAGTTAAATAAACCAATCAATGAAGAGTCATGAACTAACAGTGTATTAACTCACCTGTTTATTAATAACTTCATCCTTTACCCATCCTGTCCTCCACATCTGCAACACAAGGTAATATTAATATAATTATAGCAAATGTTCAACAACCAGTGAACTCTATAAAGAAGGGGGGAATATTTCAGCAAATTCATTACGTTATGAGTTTTGGAGACATCATTCAAAATCATTTAGAATTTACTTTAAAACTCTTTTAAACCTAATCTTTTTGTCAATTTGTAGACTGTTTGAAATGGTGTGCGTGTGGGGTATAGCCGTCCCTAAACTGCAGCATTTTTGAAGGGTAGGATTTAAATTTTCCAGCTTATTGGTGCACTTTTCTTTTGATTATGTCATGTTGCCATAAAACAAGAATGGTAGTGACCATAATCACTAGTAAATAATTATAGTAAATCCTTAGTATTATGCTCTTTAGTAAAGAAAGTAGGAGGAAATGTCTTTAAGAAAGAATCATACTGCTTATGAAAGTAGCATTGAAGAAAATGGTAGTAGTGATGGTAAATATTCTGAAAGCCAACTCTTGATACAATGTGTTCTGACAATATGTCATCTTTTGCTCTTCTTTATTCTCATATACAAATAGTTTGAATATAACATTTCTATGTACATTTTTTCTTAAAAAGATAAATTAACAAATATGATAAATTCATTCACCTTGTTACAATCTGTGATAAATGTGTTCTTCTGTGTAAGAAAATGCTACCTTCATGATTCATGATTCATTTTTGCATTTGCTTCTGAATCCTTTGTGTATAATTTTATATAAGATGCAAGTGTAAATAAAATTTATGTTGAGTGACTGAAAAGGCAGGTTTTAAGTATGTTGTGAAGTTGAGCAGTAAAATATTAAACATTTCTACATTTTTTTTAGAATACCGTTATTTCACATTTATGAAACGTATACATGAAATCATGAAACTATAAAAAAGGATTATAAAATGTTTACCACTGATATAACACCACAATTACAATTGTATTTCAAAGGAATCAACGTTGAATAAAAGTACAATAAAATTCTTATCTATCACAATAGCATATAACAAAGCTTTCCTATGTATTAAAATAGTATATTTAAAATATACTGCAGTGCTGCTTGAGTTCACAACATGCTGTGGTAAGTTCAATGTACATGGTTTGCGTACAACATAGAATACAAATGTATATTTTATTTGCACCAAAGATGTTAGTTTGTATCAGGGTTTAGTTATAATTTGTATGTTTGTAAAAGCAACAGCTAGCTGCAGCATTTCAATCTCAGTTGAGGACTATATAGCATATTTTTTTGAGAAAATTTGCTTTAACCTTAAATACACAACTCACACATCATCTTACTGCTTTTGCAGTGACTTTTTAAATCAGAAGAGGTTTGCTTCCTTGCAAACATTTAATAAATGAAAATTGAAAAATTTAATTTGAGATAAAGAGACATTAAAAAAAAAATACTAATAGACTTTTCAAAGAATAACTTTATCAGTGTTACACATTGTTAAACGTCAATGTTTTAAAAAAGTATGTATTGAATTTTACAAACTTGAAAATGTATGTACAAGAAGTTTTATGTTTTATAAAATAGTTCCAAACTTAAATATTCTATTATGAAAAGATAATGCATTGATAATTTAAAGTTTTCCAACTGAGAGAACTACGGCAGAGTATCTTGTGGCCAGTAGAAGGCACTAGTTTCTAGCTCTAAGTGAAAGACGTGATCAATAACATCAATGTGCTGCTTGCAGCAATATACACTTTATCTGACAAAGACAACACTTCACAGTTCATGAAAAACTGTACATTCTTGGGATGACGCAGCTGGTTGAACATGTGATTATTTATTATTAACATCTGTTGAATTATACAAGTCCCCAAGTTTACCTCAAATTGTAATGGGGTTTGATTTATTTTAATTTATGTTCTTTGCTGTCTGTGCCTTGGCAAAAGAAAATGTTATGTTCCAAGATATTTAAATTCTTTGAACAAATGTGTTACTAGTTTAGAAAGAAAATACCAAGTAGAAAAATTTGTAGACATATTAACCAGGCTTAACAAGTTAAATTATGATTCCGTAGACCTCATTACATAATAATCAACAATTTGTAAAGAAGATGCAAAAAGTGACTCACAAGCCTCATGCTTGACAAATCTCAAAAAGTGAGAAAGTAGATTAATACTAAATTTCATTCTGTAGTTTACTATAGATTATTGTATGGTACTGTGTATATAGTTAGTATGACTGTTGTTTTGAGGTTGTGTGTGCAAGATTACATTAAAAAGACAGTTCTGATTGATGAATTTTAGTGTATATATTTTTCCCTCTCCTTTGTGCCATTCATATTCTTGAGCATGAACAGGCAGTCAACGTCCACACAAAAATAAAAAAGAGAGAGAAAAATTTTGGCAGGTTTTCTGCATTTAAACGAGTCTAGCAGTTAAAACTTTGATTACAAATGGGAGAGGAGGCGATAACTACCAATATTTCGTTTACAGCGGTTGTCAAAATAAATATGTATCTCAAATATGCAAAAACATCGTTCTTGACATTGTTTCCAACAATGCTCGTTGCTACCTTTTATTCGTAATCATTTAAATTTCTATGGTAAAAGAGAAGGGAAAGGAATGTCGGAGGAACAGACGATACTGACGCAGATAGGAACAATACACATTGCTTTAAACTACTTCGCACCTCAGAGGTATATTTAGAACATTTTAGTAAGAGGTACTACGTTTCGTTATTAATAGAGAATGCTCACCAACCCGGTTGAAATTGATATCATTTTTCTCGCCAAAATAGTTCAATACAAGGCACATCCGCATCCGCTTCCGCCAAGTGCATTATCATACACTACTCCATTTCGTAAAAGTTGCGCACATTTGCTTCTTACATGTTCTTATCATGAGAATTGAGAAACGACAGCGCATCATATTATCCGTGCACAGCAGTGTTGCCAGTAGAATCAAAGAGTACGGGTGTGGTATAATGCTTACCAGAAATTTTATTTTAAATTTTTAAATTTGACCTAAATTGATTTAGATCAAATTTTGCGATTTCGTTTTAAATGCAACCTATTTTTTCTTAAAAGCTGTAATGGTGCTCAATAATGCAGATTTTCTCGTATTGTGTGTAACTTGGAATTTTCAAAAACTGAGAGAGTTCACAGAAAATAGGAACTGCGCCGTTTTTATAAGCATGCATTACTCTAGTAGAAAATGGCTATTTATGTAACTACACGGAAATTATGTTTTAGGTGTACGAATTAAATCTTTACGGACGAGGTGACAATGGGAGCAAAGTCCGGTATTTGGAAATCGCCAAATTCGTATAAGGACCATTTCGTAAGAGTTGCGCACATTATTTTGTAGAGCGAACTTATGAAAACTTATAAGATCAAGATTTTACAATCATTCTCAGTATGTGAGGCGGCAGCCTCGCCAATTCATGTCGCGCCAGTGTTTGTCTACTTTGCGGATCTCAATTTATTATATGGCTACGACATTTTTGTAGACCTGCACAATTTTTATAAGCGTACTTCGGTCTATTCGAAAAAAAAATGCTTAAACATTGCCTACATTTCACGCAAAATTACGTGGAAACGACTCATATTTTCAAATAATTAAAGATGTCATTGCCAACAATATTTTTTAATTCAATAGCAGCTTTCGATGGCTTAGCCATCGAAAGCTGCTATTGAATTAAAAAATATTGTTGGCAATGACAACATCTTTAATTATTTTAAAAATGCCAAAGATATCTTACCACAACACTCATATTTTCAATTTTCAAACGACAATATTTTCATTATGTATGACATAATATGTTCTTTGAAGAACAGATTTGATAAAGAAAAATATCTTCAATATTGAAATTGTAGGAACACGACGAAAAAAATTTGAACTTTGCGATTTTCAGAAATTTAGATTTTTTACGAAATTGAGACTATCGCCCCTTTAAGAGCCCTTTGTTCTATCCCAGGAAAAACATTAGTAAACAAATTTAGAGCCACTTTTGAGGAAAGTAAAAATGTGAAGGCTTTATATAATCTGTACCCCCAAATCCAAATATCCGTTTTAAACTCGCTGGGCCTTGGGTTGGCGGGTAGATCGATCGGGAATTTTCAAAAAAGTCGTCTGAACAGTTTAGGCGGTAGAGTTGACAATGAATAGTCTGACAATAAAATTCTCGGCCATTGAACTCATGGTCTTAATTGACGAATAACAAATCCCCAAATGATACATATATGTAGAAGTATAATAATAATAATAATAATAATAATAATAATAATAATAATAATAATAATAATAATAATAATAATAATACAACTGATAATAAAAAAGCCAGCCTCCTGTGATGGCATCCGTCGTCTGCGTCGAGGAAGTTGAAGGTTTGAGTCCGTAGGCATGGAATTGTGACTGTCCCTTCACCTTTCATTATCATTCTTACCTAATTACGTATTCATAATCCAAGGTGTAACAACCTGTTATTATCAAGAGATACAGCCGTAAAAGCTGATCCTCATAATTACATACGTTAATCTCTGGAGACTCGGAAGTAAATTAGAAGCTATTTTGATAATTTTATCACACCCTACTCGCGAGCGATTTTCACCTAAAAGACATTTGGACGTGTACCGAAAAAGTGGATAAAGAATCTATTTTAACGTCAAGTATGATGTTACAATTTAACTTGAAAGTACAACTCTGATGGATTTTTTCTTTGAGTCAAACTAATTTCTTGTTGATCATTAAAACTTGTGACAAGAAAAACGGGACATTTTTACTTTGACGACAAGGCATTCTTGATGATGTATATCCAAGCGTTGACTAAAACCACGTCCTCGGAAGCGATATTTACACTATTCGCTCCAAAAATACATTAGCAGATACAATTTATTTTTTAATTATGTAAATACGACTTCTCGCTGCCAGACTTAATTTGTATAAATCCCGAGCGCTGCTGTCTTTGAAAGTTATTGCATGTAGAACGTTAAGTGACATACATCGTCTGAGAGCCTTAAAACTGTTATTATCGATCTTATTATACTGCATACTTA